TTTAATATAATATTATATTATATATATTATATTATAATATATATTATATTATACATATATATTATGATATTATACATTATTGTAATTTTTAATATAATATTATACATTACTAATTTTTATTAATATAACAACATTTATTTAAATTAATCTTTAAATACTGAATTACTTTTAAACATTATTATATTAATTAATGATTTAATATAAAAGAAAATAGAAAAATATAAAATTGTATTATTTCATGATTTTTTATATTAAAATCATGTAATGTAAACATTTATGATTTAATAATATTTAATTATATAAGTACAATTTATTTTTTTTTTACCAATTTAAATTACTAGGAAGTTCGTCAGGATAGTCTCCCGTTAAACAAGCAGTACAATGACCAATATAATTGCTTTCACGATTATCCATACCAAATCTTACAGCTTTTACAAGTCCATCTACTGAAAGATACGTTAAGCTATCAGCTCCAACATGTTTTGCTAATTTTATATTATCCAATTTATTAGCAATTAACTCTTCTCTAGTTGGAATGTTAATTCCCATATAGCAAGGATATTTTAATGGAGGAGAAGCTATCCTAATATGAACCTGCAAAGATAAAAATTTAATAACATCATTTAATAAATCATTTAATAAATAATAAAATTCTTAATAATAAATAAATAAATTAAAATAAATAAATTTCTTAATAAATTTTTTTATCAATTTTATAAAAAAAAATTACTTCTTTTGCTCCTGCATCACGAAGTAACTTAATAATAGGTCCAATAGTATTTCCTCTAACAATTGAATCATCTATAAGAATTAATTTTCTTCCTTTTACATTTTCTGATAAAGCTCCAAATTTCTTTGCCACACCAAGTTGTCTAAGTCGTGTACTAGGTTGAATAAATGTTCTACCAACATATCTATTTTTACATAATACTTCCGCAAACGGTATTTGAGACTGCAAATTAATAATATTATTCTAAATTCATATTATTTTCTTATAAAATTTATAATTATATAATTATATAATATATACTATATAATATAATATATATAATATGTTATATTATATAATATTTTAACATAATATAATATTAATTTAAATTATTACTTTAGATATAGAAATAATAAAATTAAAACAATCTTTAGAAATTATATGGGATAAGACAAACAATATAATATACAATAAAACAATTATCAAAAATTAATTATAAAATAAATAAATAAAAATTTAATTAGCAATTATATCAAAAATCTGCATTACATATAGTTCCATCAGCAAGTATAGTTTAATTCTTATTATTATGAATCATTATTATGAATATGTTTCATATATCTTATTTGTAGCTATTATAAACATGCATGTTTAATGTTAATATGCACTTTTAAAGGTCTTTTGATACAATAAATTTCTGAAGTCAAAATTGTTATTTTATTTATGAAAATCGATTTATAAAAAATAAATATTGCTCTCAACTTCCTTCAAAATATATATTATTTTTGATTTTATTTTAATTAAAAAATATTCACAAACATATTGGTAAAAGTTTTGTTAAAAGAAAAATAAAAAATAAAAAAATTTAATTATTTCATTAGTTTTAAAATTTTAAATTAGAATTATATTCTATTGTTCAATCATAGAATTTTTATGACATGGATAGTCTTCTTTAATAATGAGAATAAATAATTTGTACTTATCAGATTATTTTTTTTATTGTAAATTTATATTCTGCATTCTGCAATTAAATAATTTGTAATTATCGATACTTACTATAATAATTAAAAAATTTTAATACATTCACCTGTCTGGCATATCCATGTGCTGCTGCAGTTCCAGATTCAGGTACTGAACTAACTATATCTGCTTCTATTGGAGATTCCAAAGCAAGTTCTCGACCACATTGCATTCGAACAGAATAAACCATTTGTCCTATTATGTAAAATGAAGTAAATTATTTATTTATTGACATATATATATATTTTATACGTTACCTTCAAAAATACTATCACTACGTGCAAAATAAACATATTCAAATATGCAGAATGCTTGAGGCTTTTTATCTGGTCTATCAACAATATCTATAGTTTTTATACCCTCCCGTGTCAATTCTACAATCTCTCCAGGAAATACTTCACGCACATATCGTGCTCCAATACTTAAAAAACCACATGATTCAGATGATATAACCCAACCTTCAGCTTCATCATCATCATCTGATTCATTTCCTGATATATGAAAAAATTTGTTAATTTAATAACATGTTTTATTTTATTAATAATAAAAAAAAATTTATTTAATATAATACAAAATTTTCTAATTTTTTTTTTTATTACAAATTATAATATTTTAATATTTTTTTTATTACAAATTATAATTATTGAGAATATTTTATAATTATAGAATATATATATATTATATATATATTATAAAATATATTATAATTATAGAATATAAATTTTACATACCCAAATTACCAATAGGTACAATTTTTCCAAGGCATAATGGGCGATTTCCATAAGGATCTCTAACACCATATATCTTGTCTCTTTGCATAATTACTAATGAATATGATAATGGTGCTAATTGCATAAGGTGTTTTATTCGTGCTGGCCAATCTGGACCATTAACTTCACCTTCAGGAGGATTTAAACAGAGTGCTTGTGTTATTAATTCAGAATCTGAGTATGTTGATAAACCAACTCCACGCCCTAATACCTAAAATCAGCAAAATTTTTTTAAAAATAAATATTAAATTAATATAAAACTTTTAGATGTTTTCTGGTTACCATTTTTCTCAATGATTCTGTATTCACTAATTCTCCATTGTGAGCAACTGCTAATGCTCCATGTGCAGTATGAACCACAAATGGTTGACAATTAACTTCTTCACTTGCTGCACTTGTACTATATCTAGTATGACCAATTCCAAGATTTCCATTTAATTTTTTCATGTTTTCATCATTAAAAATATTATTAATCATACCCATGCCCTTATGGACATGAAAAGATTTTGAACATACACCCTCACTTGTAACAATACCTGCACTTTCTTGACCTCTATGTTGTAATGCTACTAAACCTAAATAAACATTAATGATATATGTATATATAATTTATTATCATATATATTATTATTATTATTAATCTTAATACTTATTCTATTTTTTTAATTTTTATAATGATTTTAATATATATATAAATTAATAAATACAATGTTCTCTAAAAATATAAATTAAAATTTTTAAAAATACAAATTTAAATTTACCCAAACAAATTACTTGAGCAACATCAATTTGAGATGGCCAATCACCTGCAGCAATACATCCAAAAACTCCACATTCATGTGTAAGACCAGTTATTATTTCATCTCTCAATTGTTTTTTATTTTGGAATGCTTTAATTCTTTTATTTTCCTGAGATACTATTTGATTACAAGAGTTTGTTTGCATATTGCAAAATATTTCAATTATAATCTGAAAAATATTATATTTATTAAATATTATGAAATTTCTATTAAATAATATTATTAAAATAAATTAATTTATTTTATTGTGATTGAATGTTAGATTGAAATTAAATTGTTAGTTATATATTAATATATTGAATAAATTATATATTATAAATTATAAAAATAAATTAAAGTAAAATTATAAAGTATACAATAATGGAAAAAAATTTTATTATATTATTAAACATAGTAGACCCCCCTG